ATTGATGCTTTTATTATCTTGAAGCTTGCAAAATTGAAAGAAGAAAGAAAAGCCGAGAAGGAGAAACTCAAATCAGCCCAACAGGCAAACGAAGGATCACAGCACGGAGGTTCACCGCACATGGTATGACCATTGACATAAATTACAAAGTACTTTTTGTTTTGTATTATTGGTATATTGATACCGGTAAGATTTTAAAAGTATGAGAGTGAAAATTCCGGCCACCCATTTTTTTAGAAACAGCATGAAATACTTTTTTAATTATCATTTATGTTGATAGATTTTATAGGGAATTGTTGATACCAATAAAAATAATAATGTTATTATATAGGCCTAGCATAATGGTGATGCCGAGTAATTGATTGATTGATTTATTAATCGATTGCACTATTGATCAATTTATTCGCTTGATTGATTTATACGATAATTATTTACTTAATTTATTGTTTTAATTGATCTACAATTACTTGCAGAAGAAGAAGCACCGACCAAAGACAGCAAAACATCCACATGCGAGAAAAACACCGCGAAAAGGAGCAGGGAAGAAGGCAAACGTAAAGGACGCCACCAATGAATCTGAACTCGCTAAGCCAAACAAAGACACGTACTCATACTATAAAGTAATGTTTGTATATTTATGGAATTGGCACTTTTATTGAATAACATTACAAAACATATGGATTTATATGCACATTATATATAAATGCGGGTAGTATTCGACGCACATATACACAAGAAACAGAAATCGAATTGATACGCCCTTTCCTTCAGCATTTCAAACGACAAAGACAATCTCCAATGATATACTTTTCATATAAAAATGATAATAATCAATGTTATAATAACAAAAAAGAGGGTTATAATAAGACAAAAATATATTATTATCACTTAATATGATAATTCGTTTTCTTGACAATTGAAAACTTCATATTATTATATTTATTTAAGGAAATAGCGGAAAAGTATCCAATGCTTCGTTTGTCTGTTCTGCTAGCGGCCGAGGAGAGGTTCATTGAAGCGGACATCAATAACGATGGGGTAAGAATAGGCCTACCAACAAACTAATGATAGATTTTACAACATGATATTATTATTATTAGAATTATTTATTTATTAAAATTCGGATATTAAACCCTTGTTTTCAACAAAGTTTGCGTACCATTCAGGTCTTTATAATCACAAGCCAATTCGTAGTTAGAAATGCGCATGCCCGTATCAAAGGTCAGTCGGCATAAACCTATGTTGTGTGTACAACATGTGTGTGTATGCGTTCTATGTCGATTAAACTTCATACGGGCATAAAGTTTAAACCATGAATTGGTCTAATAAATCATAATTGTGAAGCCATGCTTCCGTTTCATGTTGACTCAAAAGCGGGACAAAATGGCGTCGAACTTTTGTATTTAAATCCTCTACGCTGTTTCTACAGAGTAGGTCTATTATCTAATCTTATCATAATCTAATATATTACATTTAACATAGTTTTATTATCAATATCATTACTATTATTATTATTATTATTATTATTATTATTATTATTAGGCCTATTATTATTATTATTATCATTGTCAATTTGTATATTTCTATAATTGACAGACGATAGACGCTTATGAACTGGATAAGATCCTTGAAAACAGTCGAATGTTATTTACAAAGCAACAAGTGCGTGATATTGTCAAAGAGATTGACAGCGATGGTTCCAACTCTTTAGACTTCATTGAATGTCTTGCTGTAAGTAGGCCTATAAGTGTATAATCCCAGAGCATCAAGATTTCAAGCTAGGCCATTATTTTTAGGCCTATTTATACTTGAGAACGTATTCGCTATCACGTTAATATCTCACAAGGCAAGTCTAATAATGAGGCTTATAGTAGAGCTGTTTTTAGTCGCGAGAAAAAAAAAATCACCTGCTTCTGGAAGGATTTGAATCCAAGCATCTTAGTCTCAAAGCCAAAGATCAGTACATTTTCCATTAACATTCTATAAAAACATATAAAAAGTAACTGTCAGAGGATTAACTAATTTTCATTGTGTATAATTCAAATTGAAATTTATTTCACCAAATCACACAATAATACAATTTCAAAAATGTATGTATAGGAGCCTATATATCTAATGTAAAAAATGTTGTTATTTTTCCTATATTATTGCTTTCAGGTGATCGATAGACTACACCAAAACAAGAAAACCGCATTACCAACATCTCTTGAGCAAAACAAAAGCACCGTTTGTTCTATCCAATAGGGCGAAAGATAGATAGACAGACACGTGACTGCTGCCATATTGTTAAAACGAAATAAGGAATACTGGGTCTAAATGAATAATTTATTTCATGTTATATCATCACTTCTTGTTTTTGTATTATAACGCAACACAGATTGCAGGAAACCAAAAAAAAACTAAAGTATTATTTTTTTCAAAGGAAATTTACCCTTATTATTTACGATGACTTAAATAAAACATGAGACATGTAATTATTGCCTGCATTATAATTCTTTTACATCTAAAACAACAAATCTGCACATAAACACATAATGTAAAAGTATATAGGCATCGAAGTGAAAATAATACCGGTATCAATCAAATGAGCTTAAAGTACGGTTCAGACTATTTGACAAAAACATGTGACATGCCTAAATATGGTCATGATGACATCACATCACCTAAATATGGGCACATCGTGACTAAATATGGGCATACAAGACTTTTTTTTGTCAAAGAAAATTTGATAGTGTGTTGAGGAAGCATTGCGTGATATAATATGCTCCCAGGAGAAAACAAACAAAAACTAGGTTGATGAGGAAGTGGGTGATAGTCGTCTTCTGCCCAACTGGAGAACACACTTGTGTACTGACGCATCGCTTAAATTGAATTCAATATTTTTTTCCCTCCTTTACGTCTAGGTTCAAGATAATCATCTTAATACTCAGTTTTTATTACTACTGACATTAGCGCTTTCTAATGGACGTATCAAGCAAGGCGCGCCACCTTTTATTTCAATTTATTTATTTGTCTTAATAATTAAATTAATATTAACATTTATAAAAAGGAAGATGACAAAAACGAAACAAGTAGGCTCAGATACTAGACTGGGAAACACCCCAAAAGTGAACTAAATTACTGCTGTCGAGTGGTTCATCTACAAAATAAGACAAACATCGGCATGATACAGTAAGCACATTTCATATAAACGATAAACGATAAAAATCTTAAGTTAAATAAATACTGTGTTATTTAAATCTAAAGATTAAAGTATTTAATACGGTATATTATGAATATGCATATTATGATATAAATCTATGATATGATTTGATATGATAGTACACGATACGATATGGGATAACATAATATAATAAATATATGTTCATTTTTTATAAATATAAAATATTATATAGGCCTATACATGCATATACACATATAATAATATCAGGCTAACTACATGTACATGTGTCTTCGTTAAGATAAATTAAAAGTAGGCCTATAAACTATGTAAATTCGAATACAATCGTTCATAGAACAGAATTTGAAACCGAATAAATAAGGCCACCACTGACTTCTCTATGGGCTATTATTGCTAAGGTAGCACAAAACAACAGCGTAAACATATATTTTATACTTGTGTGTTTGAGGGACATACGCGTATTCCTAGCTATTGAATAACACGTTTTATAACACACCTAATTATATCCCTGTTATATTTGATTGGTGGATTTCGTATCACGAGGCATTGGTTATTTACTCTATTTCGTCACTCTTTATGGAAATTTAGTTCCACTGTACATTTTTAGTTCCATTCGTGCATTTTCTTTCCATCCTAGGCACCATTGCACGTTGCCTAGGATACGCTATGACCATCAACCTAAAATAAAATCGCTGGACTGTTCTATTTGGAAAAAGGGTAGAATTTTTCAAAAATATCGAGAATCTCCTTTCAGAAAAAGTTAGATTTTTTAATAAAATATCAAATGACAAGAATCTATTTTAGGTGTGTTATAAAACAAATAATTAATGTTTTTTATTGGAATGGAAAGAATATTTTCATACGTTGAAATATTGACTGTTATATTCAACACATCTTAGCTCCGCCTTGTCGAATGGAACAGTCAGTCTTTCAACTCATAAAAATTCAATATTTTGTACACTGAATGGTCAGTTTTTAAGTTTACTTTACACTCTAGAAAGGTCGTTCGCTTGGTTCGCTCGCTCGCCCACCCACACACCCGATGGCGAAATTCAGGCACCATCCGTGCTCTCTACATGGTTCTGGTTCGTTTAAACTAGAGAACTTCTTTCGTCTGCGTCTGGGGAGTGCTAGGTGTCAATCAATTAGCTTCAGAGTGCACCGTATGAACGCGATATCGTAAAATCGTGAACTTTCTACCTTCTTCCAATGGCACATTCACTGTTGTGTTTACGTAATATATCGTTAAGGGTCTCTGCCTCCAATTGTAACGCTGATACCTCCTTTTGTAGTCTTGAGTTAACATCTTCAAGTTTGCGTACTTCCTGAGGAAAAAAATCATGAGTGCAATTAAAAAGAATACAAAATAATTGCAAGTTTCTAGAGTAAGTTTATTATGTCAGGCAACTTATAATTTGCGTTTCTTGTACTTCCTCAAAAGGTGCTTTAAATTTCTAAGATGAACCCACCTTAAGCGTCCAATACCATTACTATTTGCCTATTGTGACAAAAAAAATAATGACGCATGGGGACAATATCTTAAGAAGCATGCAGATATCCTAGAATGTCAACCTTTTCTTGGGTGTTTTTTTTTATGATGTTAGGCCTATTTTAGTCTAATTTACCTGAGCCAAAGCGTATGTCCTCTGTCGTTGACGCTCCCGACAACGCATAGCTGCTTGTCTATTTCGCTCTCTGCGAATCATTTGTTGCTGCAGATGTAAACCTCCCTCAAGGATCTGTGAATACAGTAAATACAAAATGTTGGAACTCTATCTGGCGGGAATGAATTCACTAATAAAAAATATCATATGTACTGAAGTGACATAGTTTATTCAGTCTACTATTAGTGATTTTCCTAATAAAACAATAACCTCTTATAACATTAGAATTCACAAGGAAACGGCTAGAAAATGTTAATTCACTTTATTCATTTATTTGACCAAAATACAGAATACATAATCAAGCAACAATTTCAATTTCACTATAACTATGTTACCTCTACTTATGCTTAGATAGGCGGATACGATCGTTCCAAATGATAATAAAACATGCGTATGTTGGGAAATGGGAAAGGAGGAATTGGAAGAAGATGTATTGCGAGTGTGTGTGTATCCAATAAGCTATGTATTGTTGAACCCCTGTTCTAGTGACCCAGGGAGGGGGTGGGGGCTCCGTCGGGGAGAAAACCACAATTCTTCGGTGAGAAAAAAATCATATTGTATTTTTCACATATTACTAGACTGTAAAATCGATTAAATAAAGCCTTTGAAACCCATAAATTGTCTCCGAAAACCACACCACAAGATTTTTAACGACGGGGTGGAGGCTATATATGAATTTATATAGCCTCATTTGATCGACTGAGGTGGAAAATCAATGATGTTAATTGTGGAAGAGATGACAATGACAATGACAATAACAATGATTATAATAGTAATAATAATAATTATAATAATAATACAATGACAATAATAATAATAATAATAATACAAAAATGGTAATAATAATGATAAAAATAATAATAGTAATGATAATATTAATAATAATAATAATTATAACAATAGTAATAATAATAATAATAATAATAATAATAATAATAATAATAAAATAATAACAGGCATAGTAATAATAAAAAGGCTCGGTAAACCAATCTGAACACTTAGTCAACGTTACAAAGTTGTTAGCCATGATCACGGGATCCCCTTGTGGTCTAACCTAGTGGTATGACATTTACCGGTACCGTATGATTGCGAAAGCTCCCATGTTCAAGTTGAAACACGTCGAAATTTCGAGTGTTTTTCTAATTCTTGGTAAGATTCCTTTCTTGTGAAGGTACATTTCGTAACTACTTATATTCATCATAGCATTATCCGGTTTATTGCTTCTGGAGCTGTCTCTTATACACATCTAGATGTGTATAAGAGACAGAAACATGCTTGCGACCTCTGGTCTTATGAAAGTCTCCCAGATCCTACAATTTCAATTTCCTTTATACTTATTTGTAACATTATGCATCTGTATGATTTAATAAATTGATTTTTGATTGTGACTGATTGTGCAATTACTGCACTATGTCATATGATAAATATTCGACGGTGAACTTCAATTCTCATCTATTACAATACACAGTATTTGAAGCATTCAATGTATTTGTTTACGATTTCAAAGTACCCTTACCTAATACTCTAGACCGGATATAAACACACTGTTGAGTTATAGGCCTAGTCACAGCAGTCACTCTATATTTAAAACACCGAATAACAATAGGTGCATATATTAAATTCTATAATTGTTTACTTGTGTGTCTCTGCATGGATTTGTCGCCGAAGGAGGCATTGTTCCAAGGGCAGACAATTACGAGGATTTGAATAAGATCGTCTCAGCATGGATGTTCTCAGTATACAGCAATCGAATTGAAGAACATTGTTGGAAGAATTACAGAGAACACGGAAACCGTCCAGCAAATTATGGGGGGAAATATTTGTAGTTTATTCGTTCATGATTCACAAAAATACTCATGTCTAAATTTGGTATGAATTAATACCGGTACCTCTAAAATATATTTCAAAGCAACACTTATTCATGTTTCAACGGAAAAATATTATTTATTTTAATAATTAGGTAAACAAAGCCTATTGTACGTCATGCCAGATTTAACTGGGAAAAGAGTCCATTCATAATTTGTGTCATAATTTTACAGGCACTAAAAAATAGGTTAAGCAACACGGTACTTATCACCCATTATAGAAAATGACGGAGATAAATTATTACCATAAATTGTATACGTTTTATTTGACCAGCGTATTCAAAACTGTATTGCTACACGAGCCAACATATGATATGAACTAAAACTGCGCTGAGGATGATGCAAGCCGATACTGCACTATATAGCCCTAAATCCTATAAAATAATAATAATAATAATAATAATAATAATAATAATAATAATACTGATGGCATACGCAAATCCGTCGAATATCGGCCCATACTTATCGATACCATCCCCCGCACCCCCACCCATTCAAGATATGCATTTTCCCCTTTTACTTGAGAAAACATATAGGCCTATTTCAGGTCGTCTACCAGTGGGGATACAGGAATTCGTGATAGAGGGAGCCCGATGGGGGACTTACACAGGTAGAGAGTACACCCACCTCAACCCCACCATGGTTGGGGCTGAGGTCAGAAATCTTGTAGTTATGGAACACACATTACCGGAAATGACACTGTCAGACTTAAATTTGAATAGAATTTACTTTCTTTCTCCATTATGTTTTTTTTTTTTTTTTTAAATTAGAGGGGCCCTGACCGGCTTCCGTGATAGCGTGAGACAGACCCCCAAATGCGTGAGTCTAACTCCGAATGCGTGAGACCTTTCTGGTCTACTTAACATTTTACATATCACACATCTAAAAATGGAAATAATAATATATAAAAATAATAATAAAAATAGCTGGTATAGCCGGTATTAATTTTTTTTTCTAGTAGAAAAAGAAACACAGTAGATCAGCAAGAGGACACCTTCGGGAGCAAAAAATGTTCCTTTTAGGGGTGTCCCATTAATAGGGGTTGGCCGTAGCGTTAAAAGATATACTCTTCCTGGTTTAGTGCTCAAAAAGTGTCCCCTTAATAGAGTTGTCCAAAAGAAGCGGTTCTGTTATATTACATTTGAAGTCGAAATTTATTGTTTACAGAGTGAATAAATATAAACATTTATGTCAGACTTACCAAATTCAGAATTATCGTCGTGTTCTTCAAGGCGACAAGTTCAGATACGATGTAATGCGCTACGTGTTAATCCATCAACATTATAAAAAATTATATTATTTACATTACACCTTAATTTACACGAATTTCGTGACGTGTTTGATTGCACCGCTTGTTTTGTAGGCATATCGCCACAAAACAAACGATTTGAATATAATAACAAGTGTCGACCTTTAATCCGCCACAAGTGTGCGCGCACACTCACATGTACGATGCTCATCCAAGTGTACAGAATTCCCCACCTCATGTCTCATATTGTATCCATACAAGTACTGTTGTTTCACCATACTTCTATTGGTTCTAAAGGCAAACGAAACCTCAATGGAATGCAATGTCAACATATTTTTGTTCAAACAATCTATTTTGATGTTCTGTGAATTATATTTTATCTATTTAGGTGTTGCGAAATTTATGGTGATTTCCCCCTCGAAACTATAAAACCCCCAAATGACACGTATAACCAGATAATCAGGACGAATATAGTAATTATGTGTTATCCCTGGCATCAGGGGTTTTTTTTTCTCTTATTTATGATATTGCTGGTTTTTGCTGTGTCATTTTGTATTTAATTTTTACATTTTTTATAATATTTTAATGCAATTTTTTATGTAATGAGAGATGCCGAATAAATAAACAAAAAAACAAAACTATTTCTAGTTGTTTCTAAGCAAAAAAATTGGACATATTGGTCTTTAAATTGACAGGTAATCAATGTAAATAGTTTTATATTCAAACATTTTTAATCACTGCAAAACAGAGTTTAGATCTTTGTGTCATTGAGGCTAAGCTCTGTCCAAACAATCAAATTTGTGACAATAAAACTGTTGTATGCCCATATATAGACATGAAGTGCCTATATATGGTCATGATGTGATGTCATCATGACCATATTTAGGTATGTTACATATTTTTGTCAAATAAAGGCTTAAGAACTTATTACATAATTTTATAGCATTGATTGTTTCAGCCGATTTTCCCAACTACGGTTATATCTTTAATAGTTTCATAGCGAGATGTTCTTTAAGGTAACGTTAACGCTGTATTGGATTAGATTGGATTTAATCGGTATGAACATCAAGGATAACCCATGAAAGTCCGAAAGAATTCTTTCCATTGGGTTAATGAATAACTGTTCATGTGGAAAGTGAAATTAATATACTGAATTCATTATCCTATGTACAATTGAGGGTCTATGAGTAATCGAAAACAACACACAAAACAAAGTTTTGTGTCTGTAATAAGTCACTGTCCGATTTCCGAGGATAATGGCAGCCTATGAGCTAGCGAGGCAATTACGAGAAAACAGGACCTATCACACAATGCCCCATTTGATGACATTGTTACGACTCCTTAAAATGCAATTGTCCATATAATTTATTCCATTGTAATATTCACAATCCCTGCCTATGGCGATATTTGTACCGATGACAATGTATCACACGCTTCTCAATTTAAGACATACTGTATTAATGTACCTTGTACTGTCGCCAAAACAGCTCCATATTTAGGCCTAAAAATAAATTCACAAATACCAAAAATGTGTTTAGTTACGTTGATGAAGGTAGCAGTTGCCATAACAAAAATGTCATCAATAATATAAATGTCGCTATTTAGTCAAAGTGTCATATATATATATAAATAAATAAATGAAAAAAAGAAATTAAATGAGCGGTCCCACTTCATCGGGTATTTACCCCCATCCCATCACTCACCTTGGGATGCCCTTATCATCTCCAGAGGCAATTTGGCTTCAGATTTATAATGGAGTCAAAATGTTTAAAAATAAATAAATAAAAAAATAAAAACAAAAGAAAAAGTGTCGGGGAAAAAAATGATTCCTAGAATAATTGACCTCAAAAAATGAAAGGGGGTCGAGGTCCTCCCCAGAAAAATGTTGTTTCCTAAATGGCGAGAAATGAGATTTCCCGACTTTTGAGGTGTATTTTAATGACATTTAAGTTTTTTAATGTTCAAGATTTTCCCTCCCTTGAAAACAGTCTTGTCAACTTTGTCATTCTTTAATTACAGTAAACAGGCCTATGTGTGTATAAAAAAAATGAGTAGTTGCATACATAGGCCTATTTTGTTTTTATTTTCTTTTTTTTTTTTTTTTTTTGAAACAGGGTCATCCCCCATCAAAATTTTGATTGAGCATTCCCGACCGACATTTAATTGTCAAATTGTAACACAAAATTCAATAGCTTACGGGTCTGTCTCTTATACACATCTAGATGTGTATAAGAGACAGATGTGTGTGTGTGTATGTGTTGGGGTGTGTTGGGGGGTGTGTATGCGTGTGGGTGTCTGTGTGTGTCTATATTTTAGTAAATCCTGAAAGCGCGTAAAGTCAGCTTTACGTCAGCATTCAAATGTCGTGAAATGGAGGATACATAGTTGAGACTAGGCCTATCATATGATTCGATCAAATTAGCATACAAACACAAAATACTCGCATTTTTAAGAATTTATATTTATTTATTATTCAAACTGTTTCAATATAATATTATACATATCATATAACTCAACCAGTAAGTCAATGTTATTTATTGTTATCATAAATATATAAACGTATCAATTATTTCTACATTTGCAAAAAATACCGTGTCCTGCACGTATTGTAATATAAAAAATTAATGTAAAAATATTATTATAAAATTGTGTACAATGTGCGTGATATATTATTTATAAAATGTGGCTTTCACACCCGTATCCTTCCCGATATTCCCATATCGGCATTTATCATATTCATCAGTAACCCGTAAAATAATAGGCCTATTCATGGAAAACTGACTCTATAACCGGACATTTTAAAATTCCGTATGAGTAGTTAAATCTGGTTACTTTAAAACTAAAGGCCAACTCAGACAGCGTCGGCCGACGCAGCCCGACCCAATTTATCGTCGGGGACAGTCTTAAGCCGTCGTGAGAAATATTAAACATATTTAATATTCTACGACGCGACTGCCACCGACGCACACCATCGCGCCTGCGTTTAACTCACACAGACCCGACGCGACAACAAATCGCGTCGGGCTGCGTCGTACGACGCTGTCTGAGTTGGCCTTAACACAATCTGCCACCTCCTAGGACAAATGTTATTATGGACTGTCGTACTCAGCACAACGCGTACATAAAATCGCTTACATTCACACTACAATCACGGCAATCTGTACACTGCGTAGCTGCCCCCGATGCAATCGGCTCCCCGATTCGCCCGACCAATCAGCGTCCCCGAAAACTATCGGCGATAGCGTGTAGCGCTTTTATGGAAAACAGGCTTAATGCGTTTACTCTAACATTTCAACGGTACAATGTTAAAATCATCCATAGTAATATTAACTAGTTAAAACGTAATAGATACGCCTATTCTCAACTGCCAAGCATACCTCATGATTATGTTCTTAAAGTTTATAAACAAGTTTCTTCAAGGTTATGTTGTTTTACGAAACCAAAACACTTGGTATGAAAACGACAAATTCATAATAGAAACATATACCCAGATATGTTTTAACGATGCCTTCATAGTACTTGTGTAATATCATGGAAAATAAAAAGTGTACGAGACTTGGACTATTTTCAATAATTATGCAATGCATCAATTACAATTGTACATATTGTTTATATTTTCTTATTGAATTCATTAAAGTATACATATCTCCTTTGGCGTTAATCATACTACTGAGAGGTATAACTGAAGTGTCTGACGCAGGCCTGCCCGTGTCTCTCATTGCACATATGTATTTAAAACTCAAATAAACATGTATCCCTATATTGTTGGCATGTATTGTAAATAGCTTGGAGTTAACTCCGTGAACACTTGTAATATCTCATTGATTAGTCGTCCCACGTGATAGGCCTGTTATACTTAGCGTATATTCTGAAGGCGATTCTTGGAACCAGGCTTAGTAGAAGGACGAATGAGGATGTATACAAAATATGCAGGACGGATTTAGAGGGGGCGGGCCGGCCCCGGCACCCTTTTGGAAAGTTCAAAAAAAAAAAAAGGAAAAGAAAAAGAAAAAGAAAAAGATAAAAATTATCACCCAAAAGGTCACCCGGACCCGGGTATGGTTATCTCGATCAGTGCTACTTTCGCCCCTGGTACCCCTGCATATAACAAATAATAAATGACCTTATTTCTCCAGAGATGTAAAAATGAAGAAATATAGGTACAATAAGTTGTAGAAATGTATAGGAGGCTTCTGTAGATATTAATCATTGTTACAATATTATGAGTCAGGACCATATGATTATGTGTGTGATTATTAGAGTTACATGGACGATGGGGGCCAAAGCGAGGCTGTCTCCACTATACAAGACGATCTAAGTTCAGTTTCCATTGAACAGGGAATACTCGACTGCGACTGCGCAGTAGTCTCGGCTCCCATCATTCCAATTTGCATTTCACATGTCGGCCGGTGCTCGTTCAACACTTTCGTTAATTGCAATCGTTGTTGCTCCAACGCTTCAATCTCCTTTTTCAAATCATCGTTGCTATTCTCAAGATCCTCAGTTTCCTGTGGAAAAAAAAGTATTTAATAAAATTTAAATGTTTTTAACACAACAACGAGTGAAATTGAATAGCTTAGTGGTTAGGATGCTTGTCTTCTAATCCCTGGGGCGTGGGTTCAATTCCTGTAACAACTTTTTTTCATGTCTAAAAAAAATCCACTCTCTAAAGGCAGTTTTCTACTAGGCGAATTTATTTGCCCGAATCAAAAATTTGTACAAGTACGCATGCGCATTTGAGATCTCGTAATGAAAACTACGAATGCGTATAGGCGACAATTTTCGATTCGGGCGTATAAATTCATCTAGTGGAAAACGGCCTTCATAAAAAGACTTCGCTGATAAAAGCATCACATTATTTCATTATTTAGGAGACCCCCTGATTATCAGCCGACCTTCCAGAATACACTGGAAGGGTCATCCTCTATACATATGGTTAAAAACACGAAGAAGCTTTCTTATCGTTGAATGTTGTGGTGTGAATGTGTCTTTTTTATTAAATTATATTTGAGTTTGTATTTTTAATATTCTTTTTTTGTTTTTTTTTCTTCATGAAGAGGCTTAGGCGGTGGAGAATCATGAGAACAAAATCCTGTGGTTTCACTTACATAACCGCTTAAATAAATAAGATGATGTTTTCAAAAATCACAACGTACATATTACACATCACAATAAATTATTAACGACTGAGCTAAGTTGTCAAACGAATTATGCAATTTAGTTATTTGTAACACAAATCTACTGTATTGTTTAAAACTATTTCTCCTGTATTGGTAATATATATCTAAATTGTCCAGGACTCGGTTAGAAAAACCTCTAACCACAGCACGTAACCCCACCAGGTACCCATTTATACTCCTGGGCAGTGGCGGCGCCAGCGGGGTGGCAGGGGGGCTTAAGCCCCCACCGGACAGGTCAAGCCCCCCCACCCGCCGGACAGAGCTCGTTGGGCAGTCAGACCATAAAACATATAAAAATAGGCCCACACTAAGCCAACACATGCCTGTCTCACAGTCTGAGAGTGCCATTTTCGGCCATCAAGAGGTTGATATTTTTTTTTTTAAATCTCATTTGGGAGGGGGAACCCCCCTCTCAACCCCTTCTCCCAGCTCGAGCCTACGAGCTCAAGTCCCCCTGTTGGACAACAAACCCCCCCAGAAAATATATCCTAGAGCCGCCACTGCTCCTGGGTGGAGAGAAGCAATGCAGATGAAGTGCCTTGCTCAATGATACAAGCGAAATGCACAGCGAAGGATTGAAACCCCGACCTCGAGGTTGGGAAAACTACACCGTTCCCGCTGCACCAAACCGCCTCCACGAACCGCGCTTAGAAGAACCAAGTCCTTTCGGAAGTGAGGAGTTGCCATTCTATAGTACCGAGTCACGGACCACGCCCGTTTGTACAACTTCTGCACAATGACGCTGCAAGTTATGAGTTATTCTACCTCTAATGTTTATCAAACATTACGATTATACGGAAGCCCGTTAGTGCCATCAGTGAATTTAAATTTCAGAGCCGTTAAATGGCGGCCACCAGATAATTATGTGGCAGCCGCCAGATTATGTGGCGGCCGCCTGATAATAAGTGGCGGCCGCCACTTAACGGCTCTGAAATTTTAATTCAATGGTGGCCCGGCCTAACGGGCTTCCGTACGATTATGATGTTGTACAAAATTGTGTATTGCGAACGTGCTAGATAATTATTTATCTTCGACATACCTGAACCAAAACGTAGGCTCGCTGGCGTCGTCTTTCTCTGCATCTAGCTGCTGCCTGACGATTGCGCTCCCGCCTCTGTCTACGCTTTTGTTCTTCTTCAGGACTTAGCTGAATATAAAAATAATTAAAAATAAGATTTAAGTTTTTTTATATAAAGACTATAAATAGGAACTGTTCATTTTAAATACCTTCACCACCATCATTAAAAAACACCACCATCATCATCATTATCATCAACATCATCTTCGTCATCATTATCATCATCATAATTTTATCATCATCATCATTCATCATCATTATTATGATTACTATTATTATAAATAACAATTATAACTATTTATTATTATTATTGTTATTATTATTATTATTAATATTTTATTATTATTATTATTATTATTATTATTATTATTATTACTATGTCCCATTCTTCAATTCGCAATGTAAAATGTTACTATATATAAGTAGTCTTTACCTTTTGAGGACCGCTAAGCCGCCATAAAGTCTGTAGGTTGATATGACCTAGGCCCATCTGAATTCGTTTTTGCAGGATACCCAAACGGATGTCCTCTATATGCTTGGCCTCCTGTAGATGGTTAGGTTCCTGATACTGAGCGTGAGAGCTGGTATCCGGAAACATTGGATTACTCTCACCTCGAAGGGCTGATTGACTGTCGTAGTCTTGATTCGAATACATATCGTCGAAGTGCTGATTTTCAGTCATATCTGATTAATAAAATGTTGTAGATTGGTAGATAAAAACAATAAGAATATATGATTGGATAATACAAAAGAAAATAATTGCAATTTATTATTATAAGATTTATTATTAATATTATTATATTAATATTATTGTGAAGAGTAATATTTTAGTTTTTATCTTTGAATACAGAATTAATTATGTGCAACCTCAGTGGCGGATCCAGGATCGAAATAAAGGAGGTCCAGGGAGAGACTTTCACAGATGGGTGAGACTAGCACCTCAGCCCCACCGTGGTTAAGGCTGAAGTAATGGCACCTCTAGATGGCCGGAAATGGAACTGTCAGACCTAAATTCGATTATAATTTCCTATTTTTCTAAATTTCTTTACAATACTGAAACATTTAGTGGGAGGGGGGTTAATCCGCCACTGAACCTATTTTGTTCTCTGAGGAGTATTTCTTAGAAGCCATGACAGTATGTCAATCAAAATTGAAAACTGATCAACCATCTGAATAATATGACTAGGAATACGCGCATGTGCCACTAACGCATTTGTTTATATACATACGTTTACACTGTAGTGTTGTGAGACCTTACCAACAATATCCAAGAGAAGGGGTCAAAAGGTCTGAAATGGACCAATTGTAGGTCCATTTCAGTCCATCTCATCCTACCAGTTACCATATGCATAACTCTTTGATGGAGAGATAAACGTGGATGAAATTACGGTAGCTTATTATATGAAGGTACAGAGAGCATCGTTTTGTTCAGGTTTTATTCCATATTATTCGCTATCCGGACGGGATCTTCCTTTTATGATAATCATAATAATTATTGTTTTTAATATCAATATTAATAATAAATAATGTATCATCAATTAAGCCAGGCTAATATACCGTAGATCTACGGCGAGTTGTTTTAACAGAAGTATCAGTTAATGCCATGTAAAATTAAAAAATATAGATATAGAGCTTCACCCTATGGGTTATAAATACATTTACGGACATATTTTTGTATTGACATGCCAAACATTGTTCAGATTAATAACACGTGAGTCAATAAGCCGGTGGATATTAGTGGTCGGTAAAATGACCTTAAAACAGATAACCAAAAACTTGTTGTTGTCTTCTTTTTGCTTCTGCAAGTCTCAACAAGTGTTCAATAGTTTTCAAAGCCTAGGTCAATACATAATTCTCAGCCATGGAGCTAGCTGTTAAGTGTTTTCTTATTAACCTTAATAACCACTGAATAGAGCTTTTATTTTATGTTCAACTTCTGAAACTCGTACAGTTTCCGCAAGCGCCGCCGAAACGAGAAATACCGATTATGGAATATTTCCGCTCGATCAAAGAACGTGTTGTGAGTGATTTAATTTTCCCACGAACGGAATATATAATGTACGAAACAAGCCTCGTTATTTTCTCAAACAAACAGGAATAAGAATTGTGTGAACTGTAGATAGTATATAATAAGTTATTATTCCGGCATGTGTCAAATGCTAAATGATGTCAAATGAGTCATTGTGCATATACACGTCATTGTGAGTTCCATCGGCAACGCAAAAGAACACATGTACTAAAGAAAAATATGTAATATAACTTTTCCTCAAGAAACGTAACATAGAAGAAAGGAAAGAATGATATTAATATATAATGACATGAATGTGCGTTTTATTATTAAAATGTCCCGAGGAACACGTTCAGACATAGGCTCTATGCACGGTAACCTAGTCTGAAAGTTAAATGCAATTGGGACAAATAAATAATGATAATGTTAATATTAATACAAAAAAAAATGATAATATAGGTCACTTTTTTTGCTATAGGCTTGTCAGAGCGCATTCAATAACTTATATAACCTCTCTCTC